TACATGATATCGCTCTTTTATTAGTAAGTACACTGCAAGCATGATTCTGATAGTCGTCCTGCTTTCCTTTCATTCTCCGCGGTTTTACGTGTGATGAGTTTTGCTTGGCATGAGGACAGTGTTAATTGTATTTTATAATTTGCTTTTCGTTTTACAGAGAAGTGTGACCTTTGTAAATATGTTGAGAATACACTGTGTGTAATGATAGTTGTGTAATAAACTTCTGGGAGCGATCGAAAAAATTTGTTTGTCCGTATAAGTGATTGGATATGCAACAAATGACATGCAACGTACACATACTTGCACGACGTTCGGCCAATACGAAGCAGACGCATCGTAGAGTTTTCGCACAATATTACGCGAACGCTAGGCCGGGGCGAAACAGCTGTACGGCAATACCTGCCGGGTATCAAACGGTGGTGCAAAACTGGACAGTTGAGCGATATTGGAACTGACTTTCGGCCGGCACTGGCACGATACTGCAAAGTATTGCCGTGCTGCTTGGGAACGGAGGTGATGACATCTTACTATCGTGCTTCCAACGCTTATTTATTTTATTTCTCTTCTGGGACGCGTAAAAGAGCACTTCTGTGACACACCAGAGATATTCGAAACTTGGGCTGGCCTCTCGGCTTTCTTTGCCACTTTTGGCACTTATTTGGCACTTCAGTGGGTAGCCAGAAGAGCCAAACTTCGGCATGCCCCGAATCGACAAATTAAGATTTACTGCGGCAGTTATGGCTCAAGTCTGGCACTTACTTTGGCACAACTGTGGCGGACCAGAGAAAAGCCAAACTCGGCGAGGCTGAAATACCGAAATTAGGCGTTGCTTTGGTAGTTATGGCTCAAGTATGGCACACTTCGGCACTCCTGTGGCGTATCAGAGAAACGCCAAATTTTGGCGTGTCCGAAATACCCAAATTAGGCGTTGCTCTGGCAGTTATGGCTGAATTATTGCATCAACTTTGGCGCTCCTCTGGCGGACCAGAGAAACGCCAAACCTTAGCACGTCCCAAATACCGAAATGAGGCGTTGCTCTGGCAGCTATGGCTGAAGTATGGCACCAACTTTGGCGCTCCTCTGGCGGACCAGAGAAACGCCAAACCTTGGCACGTCCCAAATACCGAAATTAGGCGTTGCTCTGGCAGTTATGGCTGAAGTATGGCACCAACTTTGGCGCTCCTCTGGCAGACCAGAGAAACGCCAAACCTTGGAATGCCCCGAATTCCCAGTTTAGGTTTTATTATGGCAGTTATGGCTCAAATCTGGCACCAACTTTAGCACTCCTCTGGCGGACCAGAGCAATGCCAAACTTTGGCATGTCCAAAATACCCAAATTGGGAATTGCTGTGGCAGTTATAGATCTAGTATTGCACTACTTCGGCAATCCTGTGGCGGACCCGAGAAAAGCCAAACTTTGGCACGTCCCAAATGCCGAAATTAGGCGTTGCTCTGGCAGCTATGGCTGAAGTATGGCACCAACTTTGGCGCTCCTCTGGCGGACCAGAGAAACGCCAAACCTTGGCACGTCCCAAATACCGAAATTAGGCGTTGCTCTGGCAGTTATGGCTGAAGTATGGCACCAACTTTGGCGCTCCTCTGGCAGACCAGAGAAATGCCAAACCTTGGCATGCCCCGAATTCCCAGATTAGGATTTACTATGGCAGTTATGGCTCAAGTATGGCACCAACTTTGGCACTCCTCTGGCGTACCGGAGAAGAGCCGAACTTTGGCATGCCATAGGATCGCCCAACTATGGCTATAGTTAGGCACCGTACTTTGGCACTGATGAATGCCATGGTGCAAAAACCTAACTGCGCCAAAGTTGGGCCCTTATGTTTGCCAGACCTTTGCCCAAGTTGGGCATTCCTCTGGCGTGCTACCTGGGGAGATAAAGATAAGCGGAGAGCCCTCGCCTAAGCAACGCCTAATAGCCGCCTCCCAATAGAGCGACAGACAGCAACAAACGACAGCGACACACGACAACCAGCGACAGACAGCAACAAACGACAGCGACACACGACAACCAGCGACAGACGACATCGACAGACAGCCTGTTTGGCGAGTCCGCAGTCCCACCTGGCGGACATGATGCAGAACATGGGGGCAAGGAAACTTGTTTCCTAGTGGGACTGGAGTTGTCAACAAAACACTTCAAAATACACAGACAAACAGAGTCTGGCGACGCGGTTTTCGTGTTTTGCTCTTTGGGCATAAAACGCGCCGACAAACACTGTGAAAGTGGAGACGATTACTTTATTTCTTGATTAAAGCTTCCGCTTCTCTTCATTTGTCGTTGGCGAGTTTCCATAAACAGTCGTGACAATGGACACCAAACTTTTTCCAAACTAGAAATACCCGAATCGTTCCTTTTTTTTTTTTTGTCGTTCGAGGCATTTTACGTGAGCGCCACGGAGTTTCACGCTGATTTTGAGGATGTTTATAACTTCATATTCGAATGATCGAGGGCAGGCGCTCTTTGGTGGACCATACGGCATCCCGGTTATCACAGAACGTGATGACAAGTCCCTCGTCTGCCGGAATGGCTTGCCGTGGTTCATTGTGTCCTACTTCGTGGTGAGCGGTCTTACTTTGGTCAGTCCTCGCACTTGGGTGTATCCATCCTGATGCAGGGGCGTAGACTTCGGCGTATTGAAGCACCACCTCGCGCACCAAGTTTTCGCAAGCAAAACCAGCCACAGCAAATTCCCTTTCGCAACACGACCGCCCGGCGCCAGCCAGCAAGCCGCGCCCACGACCACTACGTGCAATCGAGGGACCGGAACTGCGGGGCCCCGAACGAGGAGTGGTTGCCAAGGGCTTCTCGTTCTGGGAGGAAGGGTAGAAGGGTGGGAAGGGAGGCCACAAAAGGCATAAACGGGTGAGGAGGATAAGTTTGTCTCCGAGAGATGTTCCTCAGTGGGACTGCTTGCTGCGCTTCAAGTCCAACGCCAGACAAGAACTCGTCCGTTGTCGATCGTTGATCGGCGCTTGTCGGCAATTGTCGCGGGTGTCGGTCGTTGCAGTGGGACAGCATTGGCGTCACGGAACTTTGTGGTGTCATCGGACAAAAACCGGTGTTTGTCGCTCTAGTGGGACGAGGCTATAAGCAAACAAAACAGCTTGCGAAAGGCGACAAAAAAACCCCCAAGGAACTAAGAAAAAAAAGAAAACAAAGAGGAGTTTTTTTGTTTTTTTTGCACAGCTTAGTTTGGTTATTACGCAAAGAGATAAGAAGTTACTTTGATTTTTCAGGATAAAAGGTCCGTTCATTATGCGAGTAAATACGGAAACAAAAATTTTATTTTGCATAATGAACGCCCCCCCCCCCCCCCCCAACTTTGCGTTGAGTTTTGGGATAAAAAGTGTGTTCATTCTGCGAGTAAATACGGTAATACACTGCATTTCGCTACATTTTACCGATCACCGCGAAACCGCACAGAAACCGAGACCGTGTATTGCTTAGGCAACCACACCTGTTTTTAAACAGGCCCTGTTTAAAAACAGGCCAGGGTTTAGAATGACAGTACAGTACATGCCATACGTTGAAATAAACAAGACGAACTCTGGTTATATGCAGTAACAGTAAATAAAAAAAAAACACAACTGGCTGCATCCGCGAGGGTTACGACAAGTTTCACGCTGCTGTCTGCAATCAGGGACGAATCTCCGAATCTGCCGAATATTCGTCGTGGGAAGTTCGGAAATTTCCGAATCTGTCCGAATCCGAATCTCTGGTGATTCATCCCATCACTACTGTTCACACATGCCTATCCTTGACATCGGAAGGTTTGAATATCCCCGGTGTAGATCATGGGCTCACTCTAGAGGTGGGCGAGTAGTCAGAACTTCAATTTGGAAATACAGTAAAACCTCGTTATAACAAAGTTGAAGGAGCGGTCGTAATTATTTCATTATAACCATTAGTTTGTTATAGCCACTGTCCATTTCTTCCCACTATTAGCAAGCAAGGGGAATTATGATTGCTTTGTTATATCCATTAGTTTGTTATATCTAGAATTCGGAGTTTTCGGTTTAAACCGATAAAAACCGATAAAAGTACGCCGAATCCATTTTCGGAAATTCGGTTTTAACCGGAAAAGGTCAGTTTGAAGGTTCGGCGTTTTCAGTTTAAACTCATAAAAAACGATAAAAATATGTTTAATCCGTTTCCTAAAATTCGGTTTTAACCGAAAAAGGCCAGTTTGTTGAGGGCAGCGTCAAGTTTGGTGGGGGCGGGAGGGGAGAAAGAGAGAGGGCTTTGCAAGGTTCGACATTGTGTGACGTCTTCGTGAATGCCCTCTTCCAAGGTTCAACATACAACAAAAGAGGTCTTAGATTGGCCTTTGCGGGACATCTGTGTCCTTTCTGTGATCGCGCTAAATCTGTCAAGTTCCTGGTCCAAAAAAAAAAAAAAAAGTTTGGATGCGGGCTAGTGTAAGGTTTTTCGCTTCGTGCACTTCAGAGGACATTAGGGAAGCCGTTGATACCTTTCTTAACACCCTCTCTCTCTCAAAAAAAATTGTCATTCGGTTGGGTTTTGTACGGTTATCACCTCAGGCGGTCACGTCGTCAGTATGGGAAGGAAAAAGAAGCGCGCTGAAGATTATGCCCGCGAATTCCGCGATTTTGAGGTGTCTCCTGACGGAAGTTGCAGCGAAGACCACCCATGTATATGTGCCGTTATCCTCTGAGTGATCACAAATATCACAGCTGCAAGGATCATCTAATCCGGTGTTTGATGGTGTTTTTTTCATATTCACCGAAAAAAACCGGTACACTTTTTGGGAAATAAATATACACCGAAAAAAAACAAAAATTGAATTTCAAAATAAACACCGAAAAAAGTACGCCGAATTTTGAAAAAATAAAAACCGGAAACGCGGAACCCTAGTTATATCCCATTTTGTTATAACGAGGTTTTACTGTACCATTTACAATTCAGTTGGGTTTGTAGCGAAAGGTGTGTCTTTTGTTTCATTTCGTCCATTGCGTTGCAGGCACTTTGTGGAGAAGGCACCCCTCTGGCAGGAGAACCCTGAGCTCATCCTCGACGATAAAATGGAGCCTGACAACTCCATAGCACAGTACACAGGAGGTATCGTAAAGGTGGGTCCCCCCTCTCCCCTTTTCCGGGAGGGGAGGGCAAGAGAAGGAGGGGGGGGGGGGGGGCAGTACAGTCAACTCTAAGTATTTTTAGTCACACTGGAACCATGAAGCACTTTGAATTACTGAAGGTGGGACTTGATTACAGAGGGATGGCCTAAAGTTCAAAGAAATCAGTTGCAAAAAGCCTTTTCTGATGTCCGGGTACAACAAACTACATTTCTGCAAAATGTTCAGCTCTATAAATACTGTAGATAGAGAAAAAAAAACAACTCAAACAGTCGTAATCTGAAGGCGAACGGGACTAAAGTTCATTGATGAAAACATATCGCCTGAGAATATATTCTCGAGGTTTTGCCGTTGTTGTTTTTTCAGCGATTTGTTGAAATGTTCACATTTGGTTCATTTGATAAAGAACTGTTTTCGTTCTGTTCACGCCGAGTTCTAAATAGGCAATTTCGACTCGCCGTCTAATTTTAATGTTGGCGCGTCCACCGCTTGTTTATTTATTGGAAATACCCTCGGGGCCCCAGAGTGTTGCAGCGGGTCGCAAACAACAAACACTATGAGTGCAAATTATGACCTGTTTAATGAAATACTAAAATGCTGCCATTAAAACAGTTTTAAACGTGATGCCATCGGGTAAAGACACACGCGAGAAGGTTGCTCTCTTATAGTGCGGTTTACCGATAGTATTTAACTGTGCAAACTTAAGGGGGGACGCGGGTTTTAAAACAGTAAAAAATCGCAAAAAACGTTTTTGAGAAAATTGGTTTTTTGAAGCCTTCATACTTTAAACTACCTCTATGCAGAAGATCTATACCGAAAACTATCTCAAAGCACGATAAAAACGACTTTATCATGAGCCGCGCTACTCCGGAGCGATGCACGAGCGTCGAAATGAGGCTGCACTTCGCACAATCGCGATTCTGAAACTGCTCCACGAATCGCCGCCATTATGATATCATTTGAAAGCTTGTTTCGCGCCCTTTCTTTTTCCGCCACTCAAGATGACGTCAGCGCAGTGCAGCCGATGCTGTCGCCGTTTTCCCGCGGCACGATCTCGAGCCGCTCATTGGCTGAAGCGCGCGCTCCTGGGAATGCGTCGCGGCTATTGGCTACTCTCCCTCCGTTTCTTTCTCCCGGCGCTTTCCACTCGCACGCGCCGGCCTCCGTCGCAAGCTCTGTCGTCTGCTCTTGTGTCTCCGCATGGTTTCGTTTTTCTGCTATCGGAGCGTCCTTCAAGATCGTCTAGCTTTGTTTTTGTAGATGTCTTTCTCGTCTGAGTAAGTTTTTCTGTCGCTGCTTGTTCACACACTAGTGTACACGTTTTCTGCGAACTTTCTTTCCGCATTTCTGTCACACTCCACGTCGCGAAACGTGGTTGCTGCTAGGAGCTGTGCTTTGTTTGAGAGCCTCGCAAGCAGCATGCGCGGAGATCATCGCTTGAAGTTGCGGACCCGTCAAGCGTACGGCAAGAGGCGCAAACGTGCTTGGAACAAGGGAGTGAAGGAGCCGATCGACAGTGCGCTGCATTCGTCGGAGCTGCGTGGGGATGACCCCGTCGATGACCCCGTTGACACCAACTCCGTCACAGCCGATCTCGAAGCTACGCCAAGTACGTCGGGCGTCGATGGAAACCGGATTGACACTACTTACTACACTGCGGAAGAGGAGTCCAAAGCTTTGAAAGAAGCTGAAGAAAAAAAACGCCATTTGGCGTCACAGTCTTCGAGTCAGCGAAAGTTCGACCTGCTCAACGTCGATTCGGAGAGAACTGAAATTGACGGCGGAACGGAGTTCATCATTGTGAGCATGCAAGTACTGAACGCTTTTTTTTCGCGTACGAACTGTAAGGAGTGTGGTGCAAACACTGTGACCCTTGAGAAACACGGGTCCGACTACGGCTTGGCGCACAGACTGGTACTGGTTTGCTCAACGTGCGAGGTGCGTGAGCAGCGCTTTTCATCGCCAAGGGTGGCCGGCGCCAACAAGATCACTACTTTCGAGGTGAACATTAGGGCGATGCAGGCAACGCAAAGCATCGGGAAGAGGTCGGATGCCCTCACCGACTTTTGGGCGTGCATGAATGTGTCCTCACCGGGGCCTCCATCACAAAACTTTCAATGGCCATATGGACAAAATGTTGCAAGCTACTGAGGCAGCTGCTGCAGCCAGTGAAAATGAAAGTGCTGCAGTAATCAGGAGTCTTTACAGAGACTTCCTGAACCCTCCAGGTAACATTGATGTTATCTTCGACAGGACCTGGAAAACTCGGGGCCATGACTCGCACATCGGTGTGGGATGCATAATTGAACTCTACACCGGCCTCGTGATAGACCACGAGGTGGTATCGAACTTTTGCTTGGGGTGCACGGTGGGGCCAAAGCCTGACAAGGAGAACTTTGAGGAGTGGCAAGAGAGGCACAAGTGCCAGAAGAACAGCGGCTGTAAGGCAGGCCGGATGGAAGTTGAAGAAGCCCTAGCCATGTTTCGTCGGTCCCTCGCCAAGCATGAGCTGAGGTACACGACCATCCTGTCAGACGGTGACAGCCGTACCTTTCGTGCCCTGACGGAGGAGGAAGTCTATGGCTATGTGACCGTGCAGAAGAAAGACTGCCTAAATCATGTACAAAAAAGGATGGGGACAGCTCTGCGCACTCTTGTGGAGAAAAAGAAGGCCCAAGGTAATCCCCTTGGAGGAAGAGGTCGGCTAACACAAGACAAAATGAAAAAAATAACCAACTATTATGGCTATGCCCTCAGAGGTCACAAACACGACGTGCCAGGAATGAAGAGGGCAGTGCAGGCTACGCTTCTGCACATGACCTCGACAGGTTCTGCACCTGACCACAGCCTGTGCCCACAGGGTGCAGAGTCCTGGTGTGGCTTCAACCGCGCCCTCTCCGAGGGCAAAAAGCCACCTGCGCACAGGAACAGCCTGCCGACTGACGTCCATGTGGCCTTGGAGCCAATATTTGCCCGGCTGAGCGACGAATCCTTACTGCAGCGCTGCAGTGACGGAAAGACTCAGAATGCAAGCGAGTCTTTACACTCTGTGATTTGGAGCCTTTCACCGAAGACTCAGCATGCTTCCCTGTCCAGCGTGCGGAGGGCAGTGGCAGAGGCAGTTTCCCGGTACAATCAAGGTGTGATGAAGACGAACAGGATTGTCACAGAGTGTCTCGGCTTCGCTCCTGGACATTGCCTTGCCCGCAGGAGTCACGAGAAGGACCAACACCGGCTTCACAGGGCCAACAAAGTCCACTCGGAGAGTGAGAAGACTGTGAGGAGACTGGCCAAGAGGCACACAAAGGACAAAGACCAGGACTACAGCCCTGGACTGCTCTGAGATCTCATAAGGTGTTTGTGAACTTCGGGTGCCTGTATCTCTGTTTGTGTTTTCTTGAATATAACCACCACCTTACGGGCTTTTTCTCAGGTTTGCCTTGGGCGGTCAAAACAATTTTGGTATCATTTGATTCGGGATGGATAGAGCTGTGCGGTGATGCTATTTTCCATTTATTATATGTTATGTAATGAACACAATTAATTATTCCTCGAAATTAATAGCAGGCCCATTTTGCAGCTTCTGAACATACATGTTTTTATACATATGTCACCACTAATGTTGGTCTAAAATAGCATCACCGCACAAAGCACACCTTGGTGAACACATTTCTATAAAAATTTCTGAAACTTTATGAAAACTTTTGCACTAATGACCAGTAACAAAGGGCCTAATTACATTTGACAAATTTGTTATAATTCAAGTTCCACTAGAGCTATCTGAAATCTAATTACATATTTGAAACCAGCAAGAAAAACCATGCTTACATGGCGAATATGATGAAGATCCTAGCATAAATAAAAAAAATGGCTCAAGAACCCACATGTCCCCTTAAAGGACACATGCAAAGGAAAAAAAAAATTTTTTTTGACAGCTTAGATGGAAAAAGGATGTCGTAAAACGATTTTACACCGAAGAAACAAAATTTTTAGAGCTATATTTACGGCGCTATACGAATTTGTAGTTTGCGCTCGCGGGAGCCGCCGCTGGTCACGTGGTAGGCCCGCGCGCCGCCGCGTTGCGTCGCCGCCGCACGCTGAGCGTTGTGCGAACGCCGCTTCAACGCGTTTCTCCACGCCGCCGTCGCTGCCGCCGCACAAGTTCGTCTGCTTCGGGGCGCCGCCGCCGTCGTCTGACCGGCGCACAGGTCTATCACGTCTGCTTGCGCTTTTTCAGGAGTTACCTTTGGGCTCTAAAAGTTACTTATTCGTCTTGGTTTTTTGTTATACTTCAAACAAAGATGAATAAGTTACTTTTAGAGGCCATAGGAAGCTTCCGAAAGAGCACAAGCACCACGTGATAAATAAAGACCAATCACGTGATAAATACAGACCACTTTTCCGCGGTGCCCGCGGGCGCCAACTACAAATTCGTTTTGCGCCGTAAATATAGCTCTAAAAAATGTTTTTCTTCGTTGTAAAATCGTTTTATGGCGTCCTTTTTCCATCTAAGCCGTTTAAAAAAAATGTTTTTTTCCTTTGCATGTGTCCTTTAAAGGGCAACTCCGCTTCTTTTCCAGTAGTGCAAAACTATACAGTTCTCTTCGTTATCATCTACAAAACCCCCATGGCAAATATTACGACGGAATTCCGCCTAGAAGTCCATTAAAATCGCTGTCAAAGTTTGACAAGCACGAATCCGCTGGTTTTGGATGAGGCGTGCGGACCAGACAACACTGCCCGGCTGCATTTCCGCTTCCTCCAAATTCCTTCTCCCGGCACGTCCGTGACGTCATCAAGCATGTACAGCTTCTTTTTTTTTTTTCAATTTTTTTTTTCTTTCCCGGGGAGAGCACGGGTGGCGCCAGCGCCGTGAAAGACGTGAGTGACGTGCTCGGCCGGCCCGGCGCTCGACTATTGATACTACTGATAGGCCCATCGCCTCGTTGAGCGCGGCTTGTGTGTTCAGTGCGCATACTTTTGAACACCGTATA